AGCCACGTCAGAATCATTAACAGCATCGGAGCAAACATATGAACCGAAGAAGGAAAGGTCTGGTGCATTCCTTTCAAAGATTCAGACCCTCAAGCGGGACTTAAGCCTGGCGCCAGTTACCTAATGCTACAAGTGGCTAATGTAACTGATAAATGGCAGTTTACACTCATACTGATGCTTTATTATGACACTGATTATAATTTATTAAGTTCATTTTTGCGGGTTCGATGCACATAACTCTAGTTTTTTCTAATGAACCATAAGCGCTAGTATCACGAATCGTACCATTTTCTTCCTCAGTGACAATTCATCCAACAAAAAGCGACGGATAGCCGCTGCAAATGCTAGCCTGTTGACGGACTGTATACAAATTTTACTTCGTATTCCTTTCGAGAATTAACGAAGTAGCGTTCTGTTTAGAACTGTTTACCTGCAAGGCTTCCCAAGCAAGGCGTAAGAAAGATTTTGAAGGTACTGCTGGAATTTCATTTCTCCCAAATATCCTTCGTCTTGCTTCCAGCAGCGATTTCTCATTTGGCAGCCCATTTATTGGATCGGTTTTCAATTTTGTGCACAGTCCTTCAATGCCGCCGTATTTTTTGTTCACCTGAAACAGCACTTTTTTTCAGAAGCCATTAAACTTAAGGTAAAGTAGTCTTCGTTCGTGATAAGCATATCAAAACTTTGTTTTTCCTTCTTTAATTTAAGAACACTTTTAGAATGTATCATGTTTTTTGCGCAAAACACACCGTCGCAGCTCAGCTCTAAAATTCTAGTGTGATTTGAATTTTGATTACTGCTCCTACGTTAGGTTAAGGCTTACTGAATCCAAAACCAAACTGCAGAACCGATATGCTGACATTTCTGTCATAAGTAAGGAGAAATGAGACTGGTTGTTAAGCTCTTTTGTGCTACTAGCTATGTCCTTTGCGTTCACAATGGCGTCTTGCAAAACTGAACAATTGCCCCCACCGGTATTTCGTTCGACAATTCTGCTTTCGAACTTTGTTTGATCAAAAAACTGCAAATTGTTTAACTTTTTAAGATTCCTTCATTACACTGCTAAACCCAAGTAGCGGCGACTTGCCGATGCAATCTTGCATTTTTGAATGATTCTATCCTGCAGGGTGATTGCCTGTACTGTGGTGTGACTCTGGTGTTGCTATCTGAATGTTTGACGCATCTTTACGCAATAAAAATGCCTAAAAAGAAGCTCATTTTATGCCTTCTAGCTCGCACATAAACATTTTCAGAAAAATACTGTTTCCTACGCAGACTAGTTACCGAATTAACAGGATGCAAGCAGTTCGCAAACTAAACATTCGCTTGCGCAAGAGCGAGATCTTTAAAACTGAATTTTACGCACCTAGGTCGCATATAGGCACAAAATATCCCCGTAAAATTTCAACTTATTACCTTGACTGGTTGGCGACACT